GGGGAAGGAGAGAGAGAGAGAGAGAGAGAGAGGAATACTAAGACACAGGAAACAAACAGTTGTTTTTAATCAAACATATTTTTTAACCAATATCAAAAAGGTGAGGTCTTCCTTCAGTGGAAATAAACTTTTCTTAGAAATAAGGCTGATTAAAGAAACCTTCATGATCAAATGAGTTTTACTTGGCTAATCAATGAAATATTAATGCTTTTTCACAAATACACACATAAACAATGAACTAATTGTTTTGAAAGGAATGGCATATTTGTTAGATCAAGTTATTCTGAAGCAAACCACTGGCATCATGATCTGGATTTGGGGGATGTTAACATCAGTCCCTTGGCATGGGCGGATCACTGTCTCTTGGCCCTAGAGTTCTCCACAGCCACCCCTCACTGCAGGGGTGAGGTGGGGCCTATTTGATTGGCATGCCCCAGGCACCTGATGGACCCAGTGTAGATTCAGAGGGAGCTTGGGATTTTTCCCCGAATCCCTGGCACATGGTTCAGCAGACACCCTTGTCATGGCTTGGAATGACAGGGGCCCTGGACCGAATCCCATGTGTGTAGACTCTCTGTGTACGCAGATCTTGTAGAGCACCATGGTTTACCAACAAGGTTTGAGAGATGAAACAGCACAACAGAAGCCTAGAACACCACTGGAGGAAGACAAAAAGTGAGTAACACCTATATCAGGACTTAACTTTTGGTGATAAGGGCGGCACACTTACTTCTCCATCCTTATTGCATCTGCAGATAGCTGCCCAGAATCCCTGTTTTGGGTCACCAGGTTCCTCCTAGGTAAGGAGGAGCTGGGGAGCCCCTGCAGGGCTGCACTGAGGAATATTCTCAGCATCTGCTAGGCAAAGTTGCTCCACTTCACTTGGAGTTGCACTCTGGCTGGACAGAGCCTTTGGGAGTGACAGATACATCTGAGCCTTGCTATCTGGGAGGAGTTTGAGCTGGTTGGTCCTGAGGAAGTGAACAGGGTCTTTGTGGCTATGTGCTTAGCCACCTGTATTCTGGACCCATGCTCCTTCTGGTTGGTCAAGGCCCTCCGGGAGGTGGCATATGGTTGGGTTCAAGTGGTGCTTAATTACTCTTTGTGGGGGGGGGAGGTACCACCTGGCTTGAAGGAGGCGATGTACCCCTTCTTAAGAGGCCATCCTTGGACCCAACCATGTTAGATAACTCATTCAGTCTCCAACCTTCCCTTTTTAGGGAAGGTTGTTGAGAGGGTGGTGGGCACTTAGCTGCAAAGGGCCCTGGATGAAGTGGATTATCTGGATCCTTTTCAGCCCTAAGCTTCTGCAATGTGGGGTGCCCCAAGGCTCGGGTCTTTCTCCTCTCCTCTTCAACATCTACATGAAACTGCTGAGTGAGGTCATCCAATGGCATGGGGTGAGGTACCATCAGTATGCTAATGATACCCAGCTACACATCTCCATCTCTAGCTGCAGGTGATGCTATTGCAGTGCTGGCTGAGTGTCTGGAAGCTGTACAGGTCTGGATGTGGAGAAACCGGCTTCAACTCAACCCTGGCAAGATGGAATGGCTTTGGTTTTTGGCCCCACTGGCCTTGTGATATGTCATCTTTGATTCTGGACAGCATGACACTTCCCTGGACTGAGCTGGTATGCAATTTGGGGGTCCTCCTGGACTGAAAACTCTGTGGGACAATTGCACCCTTTCCTGGACCAGGCGGCCTGCTCATGGTGGGTCGTGCTTTGGTCACTTCCTGCTTGGATTACTGCAATGTATTCTCCATGGGGTTACCCTTGAAGACCACCTGGAAGCTACAACTGGGAGCCCTATATGGCAAAAGACCAGGTTATTTGAAGTGTAATGGTATGTGGGAATGATCTTGGGAAACAGGAGGGAGAGCTGCAGACTGGACAATTGGTGTGTAAATGATATTTTAGCCCACAGAAGGAGGGAGGGCATGGGAAACGTTTCAGAAGGGACCCTCCCTTGTTCTCTGGAGAGTAAAAGGAAAGGAGGGGAGAAATACTTTCAGTCTTGTAAGATTCTGTTAATGTGTAAGCTTATAATAAAGATAGAGCTAGTATTCCTGTTTGTGCTTCTTGTCTGGATTACCTCACAGGGCTAACAATGGAACCACCTATCCCTGAGGACATCTGCCATTGCACCAGATTGGATAGGGTAGACACTTTCCCGGTCCCTTCCCTTAAATGCTGCCATCTTACGGGACCTAGGAAGCATGCCTCTTCCATGGTAGCCCCTGCTGATTCTCCATCCCTTCTTCCTGAGGTCCGGCAGGCCCCTACTCTTTTAACCTTCCAAAAAGCACTTAAGACTTGGCTTTTCCCCCAAGCACTGGGATAGAGTGAGATTGGCATGGGACAAACTTGTAGGCTACATGGGAAAATTTAGCTGTAGTACCAGGACTTTTTTGTTCTTTAATGTTTTTATTTCATTGTTGATATACTGTATATAGTTTTTATTTTTGGGTTGTGAGCCACCCAGAGTATGGTTTAAGATGGGTGGCCATATAAATGCTTTAAACAAACAAACAAACTGGTCATTTAAATAGGGCTTACAGTTGCTCAGTGATGTTACAGTTGCTTGTATCATGTTTCATGTGATATCTTATTTTGACAGATTTGATCAATCATACTTAATCCTGACTGAATTAACTCTAGAAGGTGATCTATATTAATGATATGTGAAAGAAATCTAAGCCTCCATCCCTGTATATTGGTCTTTTCCCAAAAGCTCTCATCCAAGTGAAAGAGATTGGAAGTGGATATGAATGTACATTGCTTGAAATAGAAGTGCCAACTAACTTTTTCACCTACTTGCTACTGAATTTTTAAAATGGAGAACTCTAGAGGCTAATCTATATTAGTTTTCTTTTTCTATTATTGCAGCATCTGGCTACTACAATACTGTCTCCAGTGTTCTCTTGGGATTTTTGCCTTTTTACATGGTATTTTGCAGACCACTTTTAAAATAACATACAGCATAACAGCAATCCCATTTAAATGATCTTATATGATAAGTATAATGCTCATTCTTGATCCCTAATTTAAGCATATTTCAATATTGTGTGAATCAAGGCTTCTAGTCTTTCCTCTGAGAATATTTCAAGCTGGCTATTTTGATCAAGCCCTACATGATATGGGATCACATTACTTGGAAGACTGATTTTTCTCTTATGAAATTGATTTCTGCTAAATTATACCCTTGTGGTGAATTGTGGATTCTGCCACCTTCAGACCTGAAGAGGCGACAATAGGCAAAAAAGCTTCTCCTATTGTAAAACAATATTGTAGGAAGAGAACCATGTTAGTTTATGATGGCAAAAAATCAAGAGTCTGGTAGCACCTTTCCCGACTAACAAGTTTATTAAAAGGCGTAAACTTTTGCGAGCTGCAGCTCACTTCATCAGATGCATAGTGTGTCTAGATTGATGTAGGATTTAAACTGGGGGGAGGTGGGAGGGAAGAGAGAGAGGAAATAGGTTGGTGATACAGATGCCAGTTACAAATGAGACAGTTTGTTTCAAACAGCAATTTTAGTGTGCTAAAAACTGATTGTGTTAGTTCTGAGATTGCCTGAAACCTTTTAATGTAAGTTCAAAAATTTCTCATTCAATGGTGCTGTTAAAGTCCTACTTTTCCAAAACAGTCCGTTTGACGTCTGCTATGGAACGTCCTGGGAGGTTGAAACGCTCTGACTTTGTCCTTGTTTTGAATCCTGATGTCAAGCTTGTGTCCATTAATTCTTTTGTGGAAAGTTTGTCCTGCTTGTCTATGTAGAATCCAGAGAGGCACTGCTGATAGATGATGGCATATATCACATTGGAGGAAGAGCACATGAAGGTGTTTCTAATCTTCTGTGCATAGTTGTTGGGGCCTATGATGATGCTGTTGGTGTAGATGTGAGGGCAAAGTAGATCTGGGTTTGCTGTAGGGTCTGTTTCCCATGCTGGCATCATTGTCCTATTGCTTCTTGTTGCTTACGAGAATCTGCTTCAGGTTAGGTGGCTGTCTATACTTGCTTGCCGCCCAGTGCTTGAGGAAGTGCAGTGTCATTGTCCAGTATTGGCTGTAGCTTATTAATAATGCATTTGAATAGCTTCAGCTATGAGTGATAATCAGTGATGTTCTGTTCTGTTTCTGTGCTCTGTCTTTTAATAGGTCCTCCCTGGGAATTGATCTAACTCTATTGATTTGCCTATTTGATCTCATTAGGAGGGTGGTTCATTCTCCTGAATGCCTGGTTTAATTCCATCAGCTAAGCATTTCTGTCAAGTGGGCCAGAACAAATGTGGTTGTAGCGCAGAGTGGTGTTTATGTGTCCATTGTATAGTTCTATGGTGGCATAAAGGAAGTGGACTAATTTTGTAGATAGGTCCAGGTTGAAGTTGATGGTGTGTGTGTGTGTGTGTGTGTGTAAGTTGTTGAAGTGATGTTGGAATTTGATACATTTCCATGGGCCAGATGATGAAAATGTTATCAATGAATCTAAATTAGGGGAGGGGTTTCAGGGGATGAGACTTAAGAAAGCATTCTTCTAAGTCAGTCATGAAGATGTTGGCATATTGAAGAGGCATACGTGTCCCCATGGCTGTTTCTGGATGAACTCCTTGCTGTTCTGCTTTCAGTATCAAAGAATAATCTTTTTATTTGCTTAGGGCTTATAATTATGCTGTGCTTTTTATATCAATTGAAGATGCCTTCTTTTGGAACTTATTTTGTGAACCATATGATTCCTCAGTCATCATCCCAGGGAGCAAA